TTTTACTTCCTGAAACTAAGCCACATTTTACTTTATTCAAATAAAATATCACATTCTTCAAATTTATTACTGCCTTCATTTGCCACAGCTATAATGAACACACCCAAGTCTTTGCTTGTTCAAAAATCTAAACTACACAAATACAGTACAATCTTCCGAATCACTACTGACTTCATTAAGCAGTAGTACAGTATGTTGTCACTCTACATTGTGAAAAATTGCTGTATATTACATTAAAAGTATGTGGTCCTCAAGGTATCTAATCTAATAGTGGATATAGGTTGCAAAATCACTTCAAGGTGCTACTGTAGTATACAACTGATATACAGTACCAACAATATATATTCCTTAATATATATTTACCTTAAGACTAAAGACAATCTATTATGGATGAACAAATTAACTTAATGTTGCAGCCCTTTTGTCACAAAGAAATGTTTTATCGTATACAAAAAAAGGGGTATAGAAAGCAGAAGTATATTTCCAAGTGGTTACTTCATTTTTCTAGAGCTAGGAACAAGTATTCGGATGAGCACACTTATTTTAATTAGTACAGTATTGGGGGAAAATAATATGTTTTTATATCAGTTGGTCTCAGAAGTGTTACTTTTATACTGTACATGGTGGGACTTCTCTAGAACTCTATTGAATCATGAAGCAAATACATTACACCATATCAGAAATAAAGTGAAAGCAATGAGAAAGGTAGGAAGATGAAGCTCCAGGCAGCAACGATGTGCATGTATAACTGGAGAGTTTAGTTTGTGTTAGGTGGTGTATGGGGAAGGACAGCATACTACTGTACTGAGTAAACCTTGGTTGTAAGAAATGACAGGGGTAACCAAATAGAAATCCTGGGCCCTCTTGTGGGGGATATAAAAATGACAGTGAATGATGAAAAAGTCAATGTTGGTCTTGACAAGGATGAAGAAAAGGATATAACCAGCAGTATTTTAGGACTATCTTAACATTTTAAACAAAAGAGTAACAAACATGTACAGATATACTATTTCTTGAACAGAGAGCAATGAACTATTTCTTAATGCAACTTGCAATAATATCTATAATTTGATTCACTTTAACACTGAAGATAAAATGGTTCAATCAGTTGTGTGAAAAATACTAACTATACATACCTGTACAAAAGCTTTTTCACACAACTGGGCTACTTCATATTGAGTTTGGTGAAGGGTTATGATGATGTTTGGTTCTGTGAAGCAATGGGGCAACATTAACCTTGTTGATGACCTGACTGTGTACTAATTTCCATTTTGTACATGATAGTGTTTGCTTCAATGAACCTGATGATTCAAACTCCTGAGCACCATTAATAGGACGCGTTGTGAATTAATATGGCAGTAAAGGATTCACTGTGTATATTACATAAGCAAGATGAGGATATGAGCAAATAGGTACTCAGTGCTTCAGCTTGTTATCTCTCACCTTTTGTTTTCTACATTCATATTTCATCACTGAGCCTAGTACTATACAGTACTCCTCTGTGGTGTCTATACAATTTGAGAATGATCTAAGAGCAGTACAGTGTGTAAAAGGTTAAGAAGTACTTGTGTAAAACAATGTCTTACACACAAATAGAATATATCAATGACCCCTGAAAATTGTGGTCACCATAAAATAACACTAACACTACAGTATTATGAATATTTAAACAATACTAATAATAACACAAGTTTGCTCTCCACACACTAAAAATTATTAAAATAATCCACAGCCTGATTCCCTTATTCACCTTATACGTAAAAGTATTAAGGAAACTTTTTACAATCTTTAGATTATGTGAATTCCCCTCCTATAAACATAAGTGTGTGTGATCATCATTTACAAATTAACCATCTTGTGATGCTACATATGATACAAATTAATTAACTTAAAGAAAAACAAGCTGTTCTTTACATTACACGAATCTTCCAGTGTCCTCCAGTCAGCTGTTTATGGTACAATATTGTCATAGTCTCCTATAACCTTGTGCAAAGTTTGATGAATAAACTTTGGATGGCTTCTGTAATGTGTGTAATGATGGAAACCCTCTGGTTTCACTGATAAAACAAAAGCCATGGGTCTCACTGAAACTTTGGTCAATGTCTGTTTTTTTTTCAATCATACAATTCACTTCCTGCCATGGTGTTTAGGAAGGGTTCCACTTCTTGATTCTTAACAATAATCAGCTAGTGTGTTACATACAGTGGTACTTCACCAACTTGGCAGGATACTAGCCCACTAATGAGTCATTCCATCATTGGCTGGTACACTCGATGATAATTTCATTTACCTTTGAGAGTACTTCCAGTATAAGGAGAGAATCCAATTCTTCATTCCAGTTGGGAAATAAACTTATGACCAATTGCTTTTATGAGAAATACTATACCAACTGAGCTGTGAACCCACCTATGTCAGGTTTGGAATTAATAGAACAGTACAGAATCTGACAATCTTATCACCCTAAAGATTTTATTTTAAACATAAATAATTATAGAACAGGTACATATCTCTCCATATAGTTCATGTAGCAGAAGGCCAGTTAAACAACAGTAAAACCTCACCCTCAGTTTTCTTTTCTATATGAAGGTGAAGTTATCTTGCAGGTCACACTGTAGTTCATAAAAGACAAGCACAATATTTTCAAACTCTTTACCACAAACCATAATTGTGGTATCAACACTGCTGGATGTTGTATAAAAGTAACAATTTCAGTTGCAGTACACAATTAATTAACAACAGTGCCTCTCAACTGAGCCACACTAAAATGGTCCCCATTTTACAAGGTTTGGTATGCTGTGGTCATAAATAAACAATGGCTAGTTTTTACTCCTTATATGAAGGCAACATCTTCTCTTGCTGTGGTTTACTACACAAGAAAGTCATAACTCAGCCATAAATTACTGAAGCAGGATCATTTGGGAAGGTGGCCCATAATTCATTCATTCCTTTACACAAGTTGTGTCAACTTTTGTGGAATTTTATTACAATTTGTTAGACAAGTTGGTTCTAGGAACTTATGATTGGAGACAAGTGAAACATTTGTTTACAGACATACACACAAACTAAAAGCTATCCCATCCACTTCCTAGGGTTGGGGTTTGTATTATAAGAAAAATAAATAAATGCTTGGGTAGCTTTAAACTATGATACAGTATTACATATACAGTAAGTGGTGAGTTTCTAAATTCTTTCATAAATTGCAGGCAAGTGCTGTAACTAGGAAACTATAAAGGTTTCAACATTTTGTCGTTGAAGTGGCCCTTTAACCGTTAATTCTTGATGAGTTAATAAGGCTGGAACATGTAAAAGTATATAGGGTTTTTAAAAGCGAAACCCAACTGTCTTTCTTCTACTTATTAAGAAAATATATTTTGTACAGTTCCAAGTGTATATCACCGCAACTTAATCACTGTAGCAATGAGTGTTAAATGAGGACGGAGGTTATATTAAATAGCTCTTCTAAAATACGTCCTGTTGGGGTTGAGTAAGAGTGCCTGCAATAGCCGGCTTCTATGTCCTGACCTAGCATTATTAGGGCCGGTCCTCCAGGAACTTACCCATCACGTGATGTGACCATGTCACCTCATAGCCAGTGGAATTTTATAGGGGGTGATATGATTATATAAACTTAATGTACTGCTCTGACATTTATATAAAAACTGAGGGGCTAATACATCGTTTTTCCCTATAATTGTCTCAAGAATACACCCAGAAAATCATGAAAGAGTTTGGATAAATCTCCCTGTATATGTATATACTGTAGTGCAGGTATCCTCCACAATATGAAACGGTTGTTTCCTGAAAAACCATTCATTAAGTGAATTTTCATATTGCAAATAAAAGAACATGGGAAAAATTGGGCTACTTCCTCAATGACAAGAAAACCCCAATATCATAACCCAAAACATGAAACACTTTAAATACAGTATACATTAATAAAATACTATCTAGAGGAAATTATGCAGCTAAAACCATTGAGGAAAGGCTAAATGAAAGTTTAACACCGCCAGTTGCATAAACACTGGCTATGTGGCCTCGAGCCTCACCATAGCAATGCAGCCCGGCTAAGGACAATGCCTCTGCCGATCCTTAGCAATGCTCCCCCTCTCGCTTTCACAAAAAAAAAATGTTAAATGTATTTCCTTTATGTTTTTGACCTTAAGGTACCGGGCAGTTATTTCTTTTACTTTTTGCACATTATTTATGTAAAATTAAGTGCACCTGCAATAGAGTAAAAAAATAATAAGAAAAGTTATGTTTATCTACCCAAAATTATGAGTTGAAAACTAACGAAAACATAGCCCCCCCCCCCCATTTCATCCTGCTAATTCTCATTGGAACCCAAAGAAATGTTCATTCCCTTTATGTTTTTTATTATATAATTTATTTTTACATATTCTCTATGTAGGATTGTGTGTGCATATAACTAAATAACAAAATACGAAGAAAGTTATGTCTATGTACCCTAAATTACGAGTTGAAAAATAACCATGACATAACTCACACCTCAGCATGGTAGGGAGAGGGCTAGTGGGGATGCGGCTGCCCAGTTGACTCCTGGGAGTGCGTGATTTGATTTTTTTTCCAGAACCCAAATTTATCTAAGCGGGGGAAGCTTTCATAACATTTGCATAATTCTCTCTGAGGAAGGCATAATGCTGAAATGCAAGAGAACAAATTTCCTGCTTCATTTTGTGTCTCATAACTACCACAATTCACTCATATGTCATGAATCTAGTCAAAATATATATACAGGATATATATACAGCATATATATATATATGTATATATATATATATATATATATATATATATATATATATATATATATATATATATATATATATATATATATATATATATATATATATATATATATATATATATATATATATATATATATATATATATATATATATATATATATATATATATATATATATTATATTACAGTACTGTATATACTGTATATGAATAAACAATATAAAGCAAATGCATTAGCAGGTATAACTTTAAGCAAAATCAAAAGTACTGTAGTATACTGTACAGTATATCAAAATTCTTTCCTTAAAAATACTAATGTTCTTATTGTTTTAGTCTTACATGCTTTAATCTAACATGTTTTCTTATATGTACAGTATCAGATTTGTCAGGTAGTAAAAAATATAAATTAAGTGTATACTATACTATTTTCTGTGGCATGCCCTACATATGATTACATTGTTACAGCTGTTTTATTCAATACTGTACGCATTGTATATGCTGTATACAGATAAGAAAATCAAACTAACCCTACAATTCTCTACTAACTAAATGAAATCAAAAGCACCTAAAAACACCCACATTTGATATTTATGTACAAAATCCTTGTCTAAGCACTGCAAATAAAATATTGCAAGATCATTTAATAATTTCACAGGCAAAATTTATATTTATAGTACCCTGAAACAAAAACTATAATTCTAAATACTATTAGCGATTTGGAAAATTATCCCTAAAAATAACCTTCCTCAGTGCTGCTACAAGACTAATGCATAAAAAGTGCTTAACTAGGCTTAGCAAGTATAGTATGGTATACATACACCTCAAATGCAACGTGTAGCTAATTAATGTATGTACACTACCAAATACCTTAATTGCAAAGTGCCATTATTATACATATATGTCTTAAATACTAATAACTCTTAGATGTGAACAACATTTCTTACAAACATTAACTTGTGACGTAGTTATCATCAGACACGTGCGTATAAATGTTAAGGCTTAAGACTAATATGTAACTACATTAGCGGTTTCATTAGTAAATTACAACATGGTAAGTTAAGTATAAAACATAAATTCCTTAGCTTATGACTCCAGTGTGTCAGGAATCATTTGTATGGTCGCCTTTGATTCATTTATAAAATAAATTTATTTCTTACAGTTGCCTGAGCTGCTTTACCTGTTGAAAAGAAGATGTTATGTGAGGAAGAAAAGGCTTAATATTGTGTTTAAAGTAATTTATCTATAAACACTGTAATTATGAGTACAGTATAAAGGAGATGTGGATTATAAATGATCAGAAATAACAAGCAAGGAGGACTTACGAGTATATTGTGAGCAACATCGGGAACAGCATTATTCTTGCACCAATCATTTATGTGTGAGGCAATTTCCTCTTTGCTATTTACATGGCGTGAACCAATCACTACCTCTGTCACCTTAGCTCGATTTGTGCTGGTCTTGCTAAGCCTGAACTGAATCATCTGACCTGCAATATAATAATTTCAGGATTTGCTGTTACAAAGTACTGTATCACTCATATCATTAAAAAATAAAACCTCTCAATTCAATTCTTATTTTCATTAAAATTTTTGAACATAATAAAATTTAGTTTGACAAAATATTATCACAATATTAAAATATTGAATGGTGAAATCTCTTCGAAATCAATACAAAATCTTACACTGTAACTTTAAAATCTGGTTCTTGAGAAGGCAGTACTTATCATGAAAGAAAGGGAAACCTGTATCCTGAATTTCTGAAATTATGATTTATGTAACCCTTAAATCCCATAAAGCTGATATCAACACTAAATACTGTACTGTACTTCTGGCACCCCCTGCCTCACCTACCCATCCCCTCTGAGCAAAGGCTTAAGTTAATACTAAGAGTACTGGGGGGATAAAAGCACTCACCATGAACGAGCACGTGCCAAAGTTCCACTTGCCGCAGACTGATGCCATACAAAAAGCAATGATCTCTGTAGAAGTAGTGCTGAGTGCCATCTGTTGCCAGGAGCTTCCCCATGTTGCTGTGAACTTCCACCACCTCACCAGTATGTAGGGTTTGCTCATTTGTCTCATCTGCATCATAAAAAACCTCTTTGTCATTAAAAACACAAAAAGTTTTAAATGATTTTATAATTATCTAAACATTAAACACCCAAGCTTTTTTTGACACAAAGATTAACCACCCTAATACTAACCTAACCCCCTATGTAGCAGTACGGTCGTTAATCATCAGGTGAAATAAGCTGGGGTGTCTAATTATGAAGTGATCCATCCTATATGTTTAACCATTCATTAATAACATTATCAAAACGTGTGTAGGAAGTTGCTTTACCAATTATTAAGAAAACAATAATATTCTTTTTAGATTCACCAATGACTGAGAAAGTAACAAAACATTTTTTAATGTTTCAAATACTTAAACATACAGCACTTTAATGATGTAAACTGCTACAGAAATGAGAATTCTCAAACCAATACGGTACACAATAAACAAGTGAACACTTCTATTACACAATACTGTACCATTATGAAGCCATTACCTCAATTTCTAATAGTGATTTCTATGATCTATCATTACTTAGCCTTGTAATACTATCCATCACTTGTGTACCTACAGTGTATGTATATTGTACAGTATATCTGCACAGTATACCTATACTGTATAACAGTACAGGTACAGTTGGGGACAAAAGTTTGCTCCCCATGGTGAAACTGAATCACGGGAATGGGTCTCCGAATTGACTTACCCTAGCTGTTGTATCTCGTTTGGAGTCAATGCTGCTTCCTTTTGGGAGGGAGCAAACTTTTGACCTTGACTGTACATTCTGAAGTGTACATATACAGGTACACATACATGCATTGTCTAAATACATGCTGAACAGTACACCTGCATTGTTTATAAAATATACATGCTGAATCAATGTAAACTTGTAAATAAGTTTGACTAAATATCTATCTATCAATATCCATCTACAGTAAAAACAAAATCTTTTCAACAGACGTTCAGGTCTATTCATTATATGAACTGCATTCAGTTTTAGAATATAATTTACATTCAAAATTAGATTACTGTCTACTGTATAATTTTTTTTTCATCAAATCTTCTTACCTATTGAGGAATATCCCTTATCAGATGAAGTATTACTGTAAGAGAAACTGGTCCTGCCAGGTGAGGTACTGCTCACAGAGGAACAGTTACTGGGTAGTGTGTTCCTCAACAAATCTGTGCTCACTATAGTACTATCATATATGGAGCTGATGCTGTGGTTGGACATGAAGACATCAAGTGATAAGGTTCCATTATTCTTTGGCTTTCCTTTTTCTAATGTAGAGTTGATGGAGTTGTCAGCACCCTTAGTAACATCACAAGAAACTTTAAAATCATCTGGCTTAAGTAAATGTTTTTCAGTGTCGACAGCTTGGTTTAGCATATTTGGACTGATTAAGCCGATATTTTTGCTATCACTACAAACACTTTTTGGCCCCAATTTAGTACTACCTTTGGTCTTTGTCAGCCCTGGGGGGGACTTGTTCTTTACCTTTTTACTCTTCAAACGTAAATGAGTGATGGATACTCTAGCATTGGCCTGAGATCCTGGACGAGGAATAATCATAGGCTTGGCACATATCCATCCACAAGTGGCGAGCAGCCTCACGGTGTACCCATTATATTCCTCACTTTCAATCGGAAGTACGTAAAGATTACAGCTCTTAACATACACTGATGGAGGTATGTGACACATTTTAGTTAATGGAACACGATCAAAGTACATCCGCTCCTGTTTGAACTTAATGAAGACATCACCATACTCCATACTCAACCACTTAGCCACACCCAAGCCATCTCCATCTGAGCACAATTCCACGATGTTTCCAGCAAGGTGCCTTCCTGAATATTCCACGTCATTAAAATGACTGATAGATAGGTCTTGAAGCTCTTCTGACAGGCATTCTCTTGAAGCTTTCTTACAATCACCTGTCTCATTTTGAGGATAGTTGCATGGATTTTCTTCCTCTTCACTGTTTTCTGTTACAGGTTTTGATGTGTTATTGGTAAGATCAATATCCTCATCATCTGAAACTCTGTCACTGGCATAATCTGATAAGGACTCATAATGTGAACTGTCACTGTCATCACCTGTTTCACGATATTTGAGGGATAGAGGAAGCTCACCACACTCAACATGTACTGCTTCCCATTGCACCTTCATTCCAAATACCACCTTAGACTTTACCTTACGTGCATAAACTTCACACTTGTTGACGTGAGCAATGAGTAGGTGCAACTCCTGACAGTCAATCTTCTGACCTTCAAAGTGTAAATTATTTGGGGTGAATAAAATACCACTAAACTTGGGCCCCCAACCCTTATATTCATATATACGTAAGATTCCTCTCTCCTTATCTGCCCACCACACGTAACCAATAATGTGAGAGATTATTCCTTGTTTGCAATTAGTCAAGTCTAATTCACTGGAACAGTTCTTCAAGCCATATAAGTCTTCTTCACTACTTCCCTTATTGTCTTCCATGTACAATAGTGAGAAAGAAGGAACAAACCCTACACTGGAAGGGACATCACCAAACCATGCCACTACTGCAGTGTACTTTTCATTCACCATATCATCTGAACTGTCTGGCTCCACTTCTCTGAATACAACTTTTAAAGAAGTCTTTTTAGGAATTACTTTACTCAGGATTTGCGATGGGTTAATTTTCTTACCGTTCACATATATGATGTCTCTCTCAACAGTTAGTTTTATGCTACTGCCAGTGTCTAGCAAAACTTTTGTTTCAAAACTCTCATAGGCAACAATGGAACCCCTTATCAGCATTTGTCCTTCACCAATGTTTACATTTGGTACATCATCACTCCCTACAGAACAAATCAATGAATCTTCAGGTAATGAATCAGGTGTTGGAACTGAAGAATGCAAAGAAGTATTTGGTGAGTTCTGTGGAGGTTTGGATGTGGTATAAGTTGGAGGATGAACATATAATTGTTGTGGCTGAGAAAGATACACTTGATTCGACACAGGATGTTGAAAAGCTGGTGGTGACCTTGTCATGTAAGGCATGGGATAAGATGGCATCCTTCCTGCTGGTGGATTTGAGTAGGACCCTGTGATTCCACTTCTGGTGTATGACTGAGACACAGGCATGCCATAATAATGTCCTGAGTTATACTGAAGAGGCACTGGTGAATGGTATGGACTCATGTTACTAGATGGGGCACCCTGATAATATGAGGTTGGTGGTCGTACATTAAAGGCAGGTACTGGGTAAGTGTAAGGGGGCCCCGGCACTGGTATGTAACCCGCTGGCATATAACGGTAAGGAGGAGAGGAGGGGTATTTACCGGGTGCCCTCTCATAACTGTTCCTATAGGAATACATAACAGAGAATTTAAGAGATTGTCCTTCCATATTTGCTTTACTGGCTATGCACTTGTTCATCTTCCTCTCATGCTAATAAAGTTCAAAATACAACTTTTTTCATGCAGAAGAAATCTTAACAGTCCTTCACTTATACAGTACCAATACTTCAATTGATATGCAGGTTAAAATTCTGAAATAAAGAAAAAGAATTAGGAAAACTGATAAAACTAAAAATATGAGACAGATTACTCTGTATATACTGTACTGTACCTATAAATGAGACAAATTCAGTGAAGCCAGGATATGAATCTGATGAGGCTATGCCAATTGTTTCATACAGTATCTTCACTGCACAAATAGAATTTAGTGGACAAACCTAAGGCTGGCATCAGCACTGATAAAGCCAATAGCCCTAAGGAAAGTAACAATTTATGTAAAAAATTTGTTGCATCTAAAATTAATACAGTACCCTGATTTATAACAGGGTTGTGTTACTTTAACCATATAAAAAGAATCCAGGAAGATCACTCGAACTAAATTACGAAAATCATAATTCCCCCACCTTTTTATTTCTTAATATGCTAGGGGCAAGAAAGAAGTTTCTGATAATAAACTTTACGATGATTGTGCCCCATAATCAGCAACTTGAGAAACATATTCTTGAAATGCCCCAAAAATGGAAAGGAATAAGTTTATGTAATATTATTTTTATGACATTTACCAACGTGAAGGTTAGTTTGGTCCATTTCATGAGACAAATTATATAATATGTATATAAGAATCTGATGCTTCGGAAAGGTCCAAGTCTCACCTAATGTCAACAACGGTGCTCGTAATTATACGCAAATTTAATTCAAGATTACCCTTATTTTGTCTATCTTTTGCCACAATATGAAAGGTACAAATTATAAATTCACACCTACAGCTTCTGACCAAACAAAAGCTTACCTCAAGGATAAGTTACACTCCACCATTCGGAAAATATTTGTTTTAGAACCGCCTACGATTTAATACTCAAGTTATTTCTTCTTGCATTTAAAAGGCAGTGGATATTTTGCCATGACCGGTTAAGTTCCTACTAGCCCTATTCTACCATGAATGCAATCTGATTGGCTAATCGTCCATTACCAGAGAACACGAGAACTATATTTGACCATGACTCTGGCGGCATTTGGCATTTATTTCACCATGAGTCAATCGTTGTGTAGCTGTAAACATACTTAATCATATTTCTGTTGTGCATGGAAACTTATCATTCTAAAAAAGGCGACATTTACTAGAACCTAACAGTACTTGACCAAACCAACCAAAGAAACCTACCTAACCTTACCTAACTTCCTAGCCGGGGGTCGGACCCCTCGTCATATTGAACAGAAAGTACTTTGCCAATCAAAGTGAACTCGGGGTAAAATAGCGTTAGTAGGAACTTAGCCAGCCATGGCAAAATATCCAATACACTTTTAAAATAAAATAAAAATTTGTTTTTAATCTACGGGGTTTCATGGGCGAATGCTTCTCTTCTGAGCTTAGCCGTACCTCCTCATACAATAATGGGGCAAAAGCGACATAATGCTGTTTAATCAATCATGAGAGACCAGAAATTTGACCAATGCAATGGTGTTTCCGCCAGTCAGCTCAGTTGACAAGTTGTCGAGGTCCCAGACATGCACACACACTCTCTCTCTCTCTCTTTCTCTGTGATATGATGACTGTATGCAGCTACTTCCTAAGTTAGGTTAGGTTGGGTCAGTAAGGTTTTTATGAATTTTACACTTAGTTTCTTGGGTCCAAGTTAACTCTTAAGGGATGAGTTGTATCTTTCTTATAGTTCAATTTCCCCGAGATGTGAATGTGAAATTTATTAAAAAATTGAATTATACAGGTAAACATAATTCATCCCAAAATATCGTGGGCGGTCCTTAATCAATATTGACCCACTATTTCATGCGGTCCGACTAATTACCCAAATGTAGCTGCAATGAAGTCAAATAATGGTCCTACATGAATAAATCGGACTGCTAATCACTTCTCGACTAGTATTTGGTGTCACAAAGTCACAAAAAATTGGAAAACTTACTTTAATCTGAGTTAATAGATCGCGTGCATATACCGAGGGAGCGAGTAATTACCCAAATGTAGCCGCAATGAAGTCAAATGATGGTCGTACAAGCGTAAATCGGGCTGTGAATCACTTCTCGATTATTATTTGGTGTCATAAAGTCACAAAATATTGGTAAACTTAATTTAATCTGAGTTGTGTGTTAGGTTAGGTTAGGTACATGCACTTGATCTATTAACTCAGATTAAATTAAGTTTACCAATTTTTTGTGACTTTGTGACACCAAATACTAGTCGAGAAGTGATTAGTAACCCGATTAATTCACGTAGGACCATTATTTGACTTCATTGCGGCTACATTTGGGTACATTTGGGTAATTAGTCGGACCCCTATTCATGTACTGTGCTGTACTATGATATGATACATATTGACAAAACTTTCCTATGGCGTATTTCAGCATAAAGAGACAATTTCAAACTAAATCAAGGGATTAAACGAACCACCAGATTACATACCAAGTCACAGCGACAAACAAAACAGGATATAACTTCCTGTTACTATCAGTTATTTGTGTAAGACATGAAGCGCCCTTATTTTCAATAGTTTTGCCGATACATTTCCTGAATTTAAATACAGTATAACATGAATCATAGAGTGTTCATATCATAATCAAACATAATTATCCTCGTTAAGGGAACACCATCAAAATGTCATTCTTTTCACGTTTTCTGTCCACCATACTGAGCTAATACATCTTATCACCAAACTTAACAACACTTAATATATCTATCACATTTACACAGAAGTTACAGAATTATAATAATGGTACTTACAACATAGCACAGAGTATATCTAAACACAAACTAAGTCACTAGGAATCACTACTGCTGTTAAAAGATATTCCTTGGAAACGTGTTGTTGTTTATTTCACGATCTTTGATGTTACATAGGTTACCACGAATAGCAAAAAAGAAATCTTATTTTTCTGGTAATACACCATAACTAAATTATATATCAACTTATTTAAGCGCTAATATAATATTTATAGTAATTTAAAGTAGTTTATGGCTATCTAATTAATAATAAAAACAATAATACAAAAGAGGTCTTGTTCGTGGTATTTTACTAACAGTAATAGTGTTTATTCTGTTGTTCCCGCCCTTAAACCTTGCCATCGTGGACTCAAGTAACGTCCGCTCTGGAGGATAAGGACTCTTTGGCATTGAAGTATTATATTTATTAAAAAAAACGCATTGGAAGTATTTATTACAGAATATTCAGTTTGTTTCTTCGGGTGACATTAGCGATATTTTGAGAGATGAAGCTTAGTATAAGAACCCTACCCTCGGAGAATGGACGAGTTGACGGTCGGAAGTTTTCGTAAGATGGCAGGTTAATGGGTAAAGAAAACACTTAAATTCACCACGGTAATGATATTTTTTTCAATAAATTAGGCCAAAAAGTGTAAAAAATAAGGGCTAAAAGTTGCTAAAAGTCACGTGACTGCGAAAAGCTCTGTCATTGGTTGTGACGTTACTGGTTGGGGTGAGCTCCCTAGCAGAAGACAACCAGCTGTGGTTGTCCTGTAGTGGATTTCTCCCCCACAAACGCTGTTTGTTGCTGCGTAGCCGACCCCGCGAATTCCCCAGTGTATGCCTCGTGGTCTGGGTCAACCAGCGCCGCCATACATCACGGAGGTCAACTACTAAGTCACGCCTACCCCCCACTATTTAAGACCTAACCTCGTGGTGATCTCTCTCTTTCTACCTACACCAATCAGCCAGCAACACCTCCTCCTCCTGCCTGGCGGCCCTCGCTCCCGCCGGCGAGCATGGCGACCCACAAGCTGTCCTCCTCTGAGCATCCTCACCAACCAACTCTCTTCTAGCTACAGCCGCAGCAAGCTACACCACCTCCGCCGCTGCCTGGCGGTCCTCGCTCCCGCCGGCGAGCATGGCGACCCCAACCCATCCTGAGTGTGAACCAAACATCACCATACCTCCACAGTCCAACCTTCTCGGCTGATCGGCTCTGTAAATGAATGTTTTTAGATAATTAATTGGGTTTTATTGTGCAACACAGTAATACTATTTTAAATATATAAATATTACTAAGCACATAAACTAATTCAATGGATATTAGCTGCACATACAACAAATTTCTTAGTATAAACATTCCAAACAATATTGGTATTATTTTGGTTTTGGTCATCTGGGGAACCTTAAGATTTTAACTATGGGATTAAGTACTTTAAACAACAAGACACATTATCTCTACAGGATTTCAGTCGCAAAACATTTTTTGAGTGCATAAGAAAATTGATCATATGTTACTTTTTACTTTTATCCTCTCCACCACTGATCGGCTCGTTAGCCGCTTGGGTGATCGGTCACGTCTCCGTTACTTTTCTTTTTCCTTTATCCTCTTCACCAGGGTATGATGAGTTTTAAGGTTAGCTTAATATACATCGGTAAGGGGGGAGGGTGAGTAGTAACTCAAAACTAGTGATTTCCGATAGAAATGAAGGTCTAAATAGTTCATAACACATCGCAAACCATCAGAACAAAGTCTGCATGTACAGGGATGACCAAAACTTAAAATTACCCAATATAGCCTATCTCGAATCTAAACATCAAAATACTTATGGTAGTTAAAATAAAATTTTACCCATTAATTAATATAAATGATGATATATCCCAGTGGTTCATTGGTGAATCATCAAAACAATAACAACACTATGTTGTCATGTTTACCTAGCACTAGGCATTCTCAAAACAATGTCATTACTTCTAAATTTACTCGTATATACATCTAGTATTGATACACTCTGTAAATGCACTGGAAAAAAGATAAGGTCTACCAGGTAAGAGTACATGACTGCTGAGCTGGTGTGAACATGGGATTTTTTTATGTCCAAAAGAACATAAGAATGGAGGAAACTGCAGAGGGCCTATTGGCCCATACTGGGCAGTCCCATTTACACCCAACCCCTATCGCTCATAAATCCATCCAACTCATGTTTGAGGCTGCTCTTTACGGCACATTTCTTCACTTACGAAATGTCCATGACTTATACCATAAAATAAACACACTTAAAACTTACCTGAACGTGGTATTTGGGGTCTGAAGAGGCCATCCTTTCTACTGTACTACCTCCTACTGCGGCAATGAGTTTGGAATTAGTGACGTCATTGCAAATGGTGGCCATGTTTCTAGAGAAATAAACTTATCTCGACTATTATAGCAGGACTTTAAACTTTTATTACAAATTATATATACCGTATCACTACGAATGTGGCAGAGTGTATTTCTTGTGTTTACCCAGAACCGTCACCTCGTCCATTGCCATAAAATGATCGAAGGAATTTACTGCGTTGTTAAGGCAGAATATATTATGAAAAATTACTAGGTCTAGGGAATTTATTTTCGGGATAATTCAAAGCAGTTTCTAAAAGTTTCTGATAACTCTAACTGGTCCTATTTGAGAGTACAGAATGAGGATTTACCATGCTATTCATTTTTGTAATCCTGTTGTCTGTTGGGTTACATACTGTAGCACTACTACTACGCATGATTGTATCCCAGGGTGACCTTACCAAACGTCGTAGATTTTCTTGGGGTGCGATGTGTTACTCTTGGCTGGGGGAGAACCGGACAATAAAAAGAGAGCAGACCAACCGCCCGAACGGCTTCAGTAAGCTGACAAGTGGTGGAAATGATAAAATGGAGCTACACCACAGTACCACAACACGGCAGCAACACCACAGTACCACAAAGCGCCAACTTACTTATCATTTATATTTGTTTTCTGTACCTTTTTACCACATTTATTTTTCTTTCGTTCAAGATCCTACCAAGACGCGTAGATAAACTCAGTTCAGGCCAAATTAATGCTGGATGATCGAAAAATCCTTTTGCAGCAGCAATCTTAGTAGTTTCTTGTTATACCTACATTGTTTATACAGCTACTTAGTTCTATTTACAGTAAATATTGGAAATGATATCCACTAACAACAATTATAAGACCATTTCCAATATTTTCTTGTTAATAGAACTAGGTTTGTTATGTTATGTTTAGTTATGTTAGGTTAATTCAGGCTAGGTTAGGTGATGTTAATTAAGATAGGCAAGGTTAGGATAGGTTAACTTATGTCAAGGCATGCTATGTCATTTAAATTAGGTTAAGTTAGGTTAGGTGAAATAAACGGGGGCTAATCTTAAGATAATTTAATTTAATAATACTGTGTACTGTAATAATAATAATAATAATAATAATAATAATAATAATAATAATAATGTAATAAGATTCTCTACTACACTGGGTACACACGTGTTCCAGCCTGTAATTAAGTAACAAAATCAATTGTTCGTAACTGAGTGAGATTGTACAGTATTACCAATCGAACCTTTTGCTGAATTTGATCATACTAATGATTCCTATTTGACTACTTTATATTTCCGCTAAGTAATTGTACCATTGAGCACTTTAGTGAAAATTATGTCTGAAATATTATTGTTAATGATGATTAAGTAAACTACATTTAATAAGCTAAACTGACAGTATCCCCAGTGCCGGATTTAGACCTGTGGAGGCCCATGGGCAGCTTCTTTCTGGAGGCCCCCCTCATTATAACTACCCAAGAGGATGGGGTGGCGAGTGAAGCGAGCCTAAACATCTGGGAGTTCCGGGGGGCGCTGTAAGCCCCCCGGGAAAATGTTGAAATTTTAACACTTCTTTGGAGAATTTTGAAGCCATATGCAGTTATATTGAGGAAATTAGAACATTGAGAAATTTTAATTAACTGTATATTTATTGATAGTGTACAAATTCCCAACACACACACACACACACAAAAGCGAGACATGACTGGAGTCATTCATGTGGTTTCAAGTCGACCAGCCCTGATATAGCTACTACCGCACATGTCAAAAATAAACATAAATTTTTAAAGAATGAAAATAAAAATAAACCAAATGAATAAACAAATAAATAAAATATTGTAATATGTGGAGGCCCCTGGGCAGCTGCCCACTTTGCCCACTCCTGAATCCGGCCCTGGGTATCCCTATAACAACGTCTGGTGTAAGTGTTATTTGGATCCTCTGCATCAGCCATCTTTCAGTCAATGCTAAACGTTTGTTAGGTCTTCCTGTAATAATTCACCCTATTTTTGTGTCGTCACCAAATTTATTTCTCTTGCTGTCATCACCTATATTTATGTCATTAATGTAAATAATAAATAGTAAAAGACACGCAATGTTTTAGAAGTAATACACTTTAACTCAAAAAACTATTTCTACTTGGGGCAGGTCGATAAATTTCAGAATGAGCATTGCGACTCCTATTGTCTCGGTAGGGTTGCCAAAAACCTTCGTCCGTTATATCATATTTAAAAAAAAATATTGTATAGATGGTTTTTGGATATACTGTACAAGCAATATCAATCTGAAATTTAAATTAAAGATTTATACATAAATATCTATTATCTCTTCTATGAACCCACATACTGTACGTAGGATGGCAGAAAGGGGAAAACAGAAAACTCGAGTAGAGTAATAGGAGAAAAACAATCACATCCTCCGAATACGAGGGTTAACATCCACACTTCAGGATGCAGGCCGTCCTGTGACATTCCTATGGATACCCAGTCATGTCGGTATCTTGGGGAATGAGGCAGCAGATGGCCTTGCCAAGACTGGCTGCAACAAGGCCACACCTGACTACGTTGTTCCTCGATCACTTTTACAGCTTAGGACCCAAATTCGCCGCAAACAGAGAGAAGCTCGGGAAGCAGCCATCCCCCTGGACTCCCCGCCCACCTGGTACGATGTCCTCCGTAAACTTCCTGACCTCTCGTACGTCTACGGGAAAGGGTCGCGGAAAGGGGACGTGATTGCTGCCCGTATCATCATTGGGTATGACTTTGCTTGGGAGATTGGTATCCCCGCATCCCCTGAGCAACGCTCTTGTGCATTATGCAGAAGACCCGACAGCCACAGCTTTATCCACTACCTCCTAAGATGTCCCCACACACAACGCTTCCGTGACGCCTGCTGGACCACCACACCACGACCCCCTGACGGAGACACGATGATCCTCCCCATACTGGCCAGATATTATGTAAATAACATTGATTGCGTGTTAAAGGAATACCCTTCCTTCCTTAGGCTTCAGTAAGCCCCTTTATAATATTTATACTGTATGTACTTGTGACACTTGCCAGATACTTCTGGTGTTATTGTACAGGGGTACCTAGTGACACCACGAGGATCCCGCTTCCTCCATCAAGGAATAAACAATTGAAATTGAAAAACATTCATGATAAGCAGGCAGAGACCTGCAAGATACGTAGTGTGAGTAAAATACTAGGCACACACTCCCAATTCTCAACTGACATACAAAATGAACCGGTAAAAACCACAGAATTCTTCATTATAAACCATCCGTTGAGCTGTTGGTGGTGAAGAGGATAAAAGTAATACACACTTCTTGAGTAACCTTTCGTTTCCCAATATTCGCTTATCACAGTAGATTGTAGCTAACCTGTCTCCAGTGCCTCGAGTTTTTTTATTGAAATGTGATGGAAATTATCTACTAACAATATTTTTCATTTCGCGTTATCAGTTAGCTGGTTTGAATCTAATTATCCAATTATATTGGTCCAGTCTTGTCGCGGGTTAGAAGCGAAAGTCGGCTCTGGCTGCCATCAAGCACCCACCCAAATTTTTTTTCTGTTTACTTTATCCTTCTATAATTTTCGTACACTTCCCGCACTCTATTCTGGGTCATCTTTCCTTCTGATATATCTAAATAAGTTTTCATTATACTCTTATAATTACCCTTTTCATTTCAATTAAAAACTCTCTTACACGCACACAGACATATATAATTACATGTACACAATGTTTATCTGAAAGCCCTGATTGCCTCATACAATAACATCTTCGAAGAGGTACGACATCGCTAAGCATATACATTAGCAAGAGATAACGCCTGGCACTAGAGCACGTTGTTCTCGTGAGGCAACTTAGGCAAGGGCAGTTGTGATGTGACCGGTGAGGGAAGAGGTTGTGTCGCGGTGAGTTGTCCTCTATTCACTCTGGGTGTTCCACAGGGACCATCTCTTAACCCAGACAGTTCTCTACTTTAATGGATAATATCGCGGACTTGGATGTTGTAGGTTACTCAGGAGGTGACCATAGTATACATATACTGTACAATAGTTAATTTTATGATAATTTTTAGTTATATATTTTTTTCTGATTAGGTAAACTTTGTGTATTTTTTATTAGATAAAAATTTTGATATATTTGGTTAGTTATAATTGTTATATATCTCTGAATAGATGTAATTTCAATGTTTATAAGTGTGTAAATGAACTTGGAAAACATTTGTATAATACGCAGGAGAAAACTTACGATTTCATTATTATTGTTAATTAATATAAGTAAGTTATGGGATATTGACCAATGGAATTTTGCCAATTTGCCGATTAATCAGTAATCGGCCTTTTGACCGATTAATCGGGCCGATTAGTTGAAGTTTATCTCTGTAATTTCATATTTACCGGTACAAGGCATTAATGACAGTATGGTGATCCAGCCAAAACTCTGATGCCTCTCCAAAGTTTTTATTTCTAGAAAGTTCTTATAAATGTATTATTAGTTACATTATTTATATTTTGTCCCTTGTGCTCCTATATTTACTTCATTTCCCATATTATGGAACATATTTAAGATATAGACAGACAGAAAACAATGAAAATAAGAGAACAAATTCTTTCATCTTGTTTCATTTTTTCATAAACAACAAAAAACTGTTACTCTCAAGCCCTTTACTGACGTTCTATGTCTGGTTTACCTGACTTGGACCAAAAATATTTTGTTACCCCATTGATATCAAACGAAGAATCAATCATGATTAATCAACCAAAGTAACATAAAATTCAACTTTAAATTCATTTTATAGTATTCAACATAAATATTACTGCAGCTCTATATTTAGGAAATGATTCATAATTTGTTTTTATATAGCAATCAAGAAATGTGAAATATTTCAACTTTTATATTACAGCACATTAACATTCAATCTACTGTACGTGTCTACATAGGTAAAAAAACAGTTTTCAGGCTAAGGCTGATGATCATACGGTGTTGGTGTGTCATGTTTTCTTGCAAGTGTATGTTGAGGCCGTGGTCGTACTCAGCGTCGTAAAAGCCTGGCAGAGTCGTAGTGAAGGACGTGGTTGTGGCTCTCGGTCGTACCCTTGCAGAGTCGTCTTAGTGAAGTCGTTTGGAGGTCGTAGTGGCATCATGGTCGTCAAGGGGGACCTGGGAATTAGCATATCCTTTTCAGGTGGTCGTAAGTGAGCCACCTACGTCCGAGCACATGCGGGTATTACCGCCTCCACTATTATACCACTTACTGCCATCACCACTACCACTTACTGCCACCACCACCACTACCACTTACTGCCACCACCACCACTACTACCAATTACTGCCACCACCACCACTACCACTTACTGCCACCACCACCACTACTACCAATTACTGCCACCACCACCACTACCACACTCACCACTCCACCACCACCACCACCACTGCCACCACCACCACCACCACCACCACCACCACCTTCACCACCACCACTGCCACCACCACCACCACCACCACCACCCACCACCACCACCACCACCACCCCACCACCACCACCACCACCACCACCACCACCACTGCCACCACCACCACCACCCACCACCACTGCCACCACCACCACCACACCACACCACCACCACACACCACCACCCCACACACACCACCACACCACCACCACCACCACCACCACCACCTCACCACCACCACCACCACCCACCACCACCACTGTCACCACCACCACTGCCACCACCACACCACCACCACCGCCACCTCCACCACCACCACCACCACTTCACTGCCACCACCACCACCATTACCACTCACTGTCACTACCACCACCACCACTTACTGCCACCACCACCACTACCACTTCACTAACACTACCACCACTACTACCACTCACTGTCACTACCACTTACTGTCACTACCACCACTGCCACCACCACCACTACCACTCACTGCCACCACCACCACCACCACCACAACCACTCAGCACAACCACCAAAATCACTTACCATACCTTGACAAGATACCTCCAACTTCTCTCAAATATCTACTACAGTAATTTCATATCTCACTTTGTATTGGTATAGAACAGTTCGGAACTCTTATCACTTACTTGAGAACTTTGAGACCGTGGTCATGTTTAGAGTTATAGCTTGGCAGAGTCATAGTGATTGGAGAAAGAGGTCTTGGTGGTTTTAGAAGTCGCTAGAGGGGGTTGGGAATAAATATTTCTTAATGGGTCAAGCGTGGATACAAGTCATCGTTGCTGTTGCTGTGTGCGGATGGTGCTGTGCTGATAGATCATAAAGGGGAAGGCACACAGGAAGAGGATGAGAAAGAAGCGGGGGAGAGAGAGTGTAAGAGAGAAAGAGAGAGAGAAAGAGAGAGAGATCCTAATATGGTGTACGTTTATGAATGTGTGTTAGAGGCAGCAGAAGGTGAGAGCTGAATAAGGTAAACTTGGTCATATTTTATTAGTAGTTGGTGGTGTAAGAAGCTTCCTGAGTACTAAGAAATTCAATAGAGTTTGATGTCGAAAGAATATTTTATACCCAGCGCGTCAATTTTGTTCGTGTGTGTGTGTGTGGTGTCAAGGGATGTCAAAGTGCCAGTTTAGTCAGAAGTGAAAGTCATACATTATTATTATTTTTTTCGATAGTTGTTTAAATGACGGGTGAGGGGGAAGGTGGGGGGTGTAAGAGGGGAGGAGGGGCACGGCACTCCTCCACTATGACCCTAAAATCTGACGAAGGGATTTAATTCTCCTTATTGCTGTCAAGGTATAAATGAAACACCTGGCGAAACAATACAAGCATGCGAGGTATCTGTCTCATCAATTGAAGACATTCCAGCTCAGGAGGCCATCTTGAGGGTTTCCAATGCCCCTTGAAATTTCTCTCTAAATGGGAATATAGACGTCGTAACTACAGCCAGGATTCCCCAAGACCACACTATAGTTATCATTCTAGACGTCATCATGTGGAGTACTCGACACTGAGGGTTGGACGTGACTCACTCCAGTTTTTGTGAATATCAATGGTAATTTTTCTTCACTATTAGAAGCTGAAATTAACAAGAAAAACAGTCCTTTAGATCCACTACACCTTGAGATACACCTGTGGGTTTATATAATGATAATCATGATTGACTCTACGTCTTTCATTATAAATTTGAAGTTCCGTCTGTCAATAATTTATTATACAATGACCCCCAGAGACTAAAGATGGATACCGAGTGTATAAAAAAAATCGACTAAACGATACTGTTAAAAATAAAATGGTTTAACAGTGGTCTTTAATGGGACGTAGAGTAACATGCAAAATTATTATCAGTCTGGTGTTTGTACAAGCATAAACTGTGCTTTCACGATGCCTTTTGTTGACCCTGAGCAGATGGAAAGGCATCAAACGTTAGGGTAGAGAGAGAGAGAGAGAGAGAGAGAGAGAGAGAGAGAGAGAGAGAGAGAGAGAGAGAGAGAGAGAGAGAGAGAGAGATTTAAACCCAGTTCTTAACACAAGGGAAGAGGGTTAACACATACTCTCCCTCCCAATTACAGGACTTAATGGGAATGAATATGCTAAAGTGTGTATGTGTGTATGTGTGTGTATGTGTGTGTGTGTGTGTGGTGAAGAGAAGTACTAAACATGACGCAAGGGGTAAAAATGACCGCTTAATGGGTAGGTTTTGAGCAGGTGGAATACATAACTGATGATGGGGGGGAGAGAGAGGATGGGGTAGCGAACCAAAGGAGAGTGAAACAGGTGTAAGATTGAAAGGATAAAGGAAATGAAAGAGAGAGAGAGAGAGAGAGAGTAATCAGGTTCTTGGTATTGAACAAAGACTGTGTTGAAAGAGGGTGGGGGTTGTTCTCTCACCGTGACTATAGCTCTTGACACATCCACCTTTAGCTCTTAACGACACATCCACCTATAGCTCTTGACGACAAATCTACCTATAGCTCTTAACGACACATCCATCAATAGCTCTTAACGACACATAGCTATAGCTCTTAACGACACATCCACCTATAGCTCTTAACGACACATCCATCAATAGCTCTTAACGACACATAGCTATAGCTCTTAACGACACATCCACCTATAGCTCTTAACGACACATCCACCAATAGCTCTTAACGACACATCCATCAATAGCTCTTAACGACACATAGCTATAGCTCTTAACGACACATCCACCTATAGCTCTTAACGACACATCCATCAATAGCTCTTAACGACACATAGCTATAGCTCTTAACGACACATCCACCTATAGCTCTTAACGACACATCCACCAATAGCTCTTAACGACACATCCATCAATAGCTCTTAACGACACATAGCTATAGCTCTTAACGACACATCCACCTATAGCTCTTAACGACACATCCAGCTCTTAACGACACATAGCTATAGCTCTTAACGACACATCCACCTATATCTTAACGACACATCCATCAATAACCATAACATTTGTAGCTATAGCTCTTAACGACATCCACCTATAGCTCTTAACGACACATCCATCAATGGCTCTTAACGATACACTTCCATAGCTCTTAACGACAAAATCCACCAATAGCTCTTAACGACACATAGCTATAGCTCTTAACGACTTACATCCACCTATAGCTCTTAACGACACATCCATCTATAGCTCGACACATCCACCTATATAGCTCTTAACGGCACACCCACCTATAGCTCTTAACGACATCCACCTATGGCTCTTAACGACACATCCACCTGGCTCTTAACGACACATCCATCAATAGCTCTTAACGACTACATAGCTAGCTCTTAACGACACACATCACACTATAGCTCTTAACGACACATCCACCTATAGCTCTTGACGACACATCCACCTATAGCTCTTAACGACACATCCACCTATAGCTCTTGACGGCACATGCATCAATAGCTCTTGACGACATCCTATAGCTCTTGACGACACATCCACCTATAGCTCTTAACGACACATCCACCTATAGCTCGACACATCCACCTATAGCTCTTAACGTACATCCACCTATAGCTCGACACATCCACCTATAGCTCTTGACGAGCATCCACTAAAGCTCTTGACGAGCCATCCACCTATAGCTCTTGACGACACATCCACCTATGGCTCGACACATCCACCTATAGCTCTAACGGCAACACATCCACCTATAGCTCGACACATCCACTATAGCTCTTGACGACATCCACCTATAGCTAGAGCATCCACCTATAGCTCTTAACGACATCCACCTGGCTCACCGGCGGCATTCACTATAGCTCTTGACGGCACATCCACCTATAGCTCGACACATCCACCTATAGCTCTTAACGACACATCCACCTATAGCTCGACACATCCACCTATAGCTCTTGACGACACATCCACCTATAGCTCTTGACGACACATCCACCTATAGCTCGACACATCCACCTACGTATAGCTCTTAACGACACATCCACCTACAGCTCTTGACGACACATCCACCTACGATAGATATAACCGCCTGTTATGAGCTTGGATTTATGGATGAGCAGCTTACTCGTGACTCTTCATTCATTGGGTAGTAGTGTTGTTCGTCGCTTTACAAACCCGCTTCTCACCTCTTGTCTTGTTTTGGCACGAAGACGATGTGTTGCTAATACAATAATGAAATAAATAAACTTTTCAGGTTAGGTTATAAGTTATAGATATGAAGAGAGAATTGAAGAATCAGTTTTTATAGACAGATGATCAGAATGAGGAAAGAGAGAGAGAGAGAGAGAGAGAGAGAGAGAGAGAGAGAGAGAGAGAGTTAAACGAACCAGGAACGTCCTACTTCAAATGTTAAATTTCGTCAGTTGAAATTTCTCTCGTAACTGAACGTATAAAACAATATATCTACTTGATAAATCTTCAACTACGGCACAAAATGACTTTAAAACTACGCTTCGTTGAGACTAGTCGCCATAACTGACTATTGCATACGATCATTTAGCAACCGTTGGTAGAGAAATGAACGCTTACAGTAACATACTTAAACTGGAGGGAAGAAACTCATGAATCGGCCGAAATAGCCAAACGGCGAAGTGGCCCCTTATCCCTAAAACAAACTCATGAACGCTGGGGTGAGGGAGTGTCTGGCTCTGTAATAAACCTTAAATAAAATAAAGTGAATAGTTACGAGGTTTTCTGACTGTGTGAAGGTTACGTTAAGTACTTAATTACTAGACATGAGTTGATTGACGCTTTGTTTGATGTTTCTAATAGGTTTACCAGTTAATTGATAACACTAGATATGTTGGATATCTTAACTGATTTGTTTGCGAATTTTTAAAAGCAATTAATTATCATAGAGCGATTAATAATAGTAGCCATTTAAGATATATTAATATAAGATAATTTATTACACTAAAAAAATAAATAAAATTGTAGATCTATAATATTACAGTAATTCGAATAGAAAGAAAACGATTAACGCTCGCCAACAACCCTATGGGTCACTCATCTATTTTTTAAATTGTTGATGACTAGTGTATTTCTTATTAATAACACAAGCATAAAACCATCACATGTTAAGACACATAAAACTCCCTAATAACTTTCAACAACATTGTATCATTCTCAATTTTTTTTAACGACTATCGTATTTACTAATAAAGAAAACGCACAATAACATAATGTCGCTAACCCCTGACTAGTGACTGCGTGACAATATTCGACAGTGTTAAATTATTTACAGACTTAGATAGCTGCAAAAACTAAAGTAGAGCACAGTGGTTGGAAGTGGTTAATGACCCAGTTATGTCTAAATAAAACTGTTCATATACTGTTATAATTTAATGTGATTTAGTTGTGTAAAAATAATAACAATAACAGTAAGTAAAGCGTTGTCATCTTTACGTCCATATGTATATGTCTTCAGATGCATGCATGTAGAAACACACACAAGGAGCATTGCTAACACACACACACACACATACGTTAAAGCTTCTATGTACAAACGAATAAACAGATAGACAAACACACATACAGATATAGACAGAATCACAGACAGACATAGAAACAGGCACACGCACACGGACAGACGAGACAGACACACGGACATTTTCTCTTTCTTAATCTCAGAACATCCACACATTATCTTTTATCAAAATATGTACACCGTATCTGTACCCAGTGATAATATACTGTATACCAACCACTATATTATCTGCTTGAAGTATACACACACACTAACATTCCTATATATACACTTAATATATCATCTGTACATCATCCAGACGGAAACACTCATATAACACCGACTCAGTCCAGACCCCAAGTGGCTATAGGTTACATACTGAACATTCGATATCATTATATGTACCTATACATTAGGATATATGAAAGGAGTGTTTTATAAGATTAGTAATGTGGTTTGGTTTGGTTAGTTTAGGTTATATAGTGAATATTAGGTGAGTAGATGGTGGTTGTTGTTGTAGGGAGGGAAGGTGGTGGTGGTTGTAGGTGAGGAGGTAGTAGTGGTTGTAGGTGGTGAGGTGGTGGTAGTTGTAGGTGGGGAGGGGGTGGTGGTTGTAGGTAGAGAAGTGGAAAGGTAATAGTGGTTGCTGTAGGTAGGGAGGCCGTAGTAGTTGTAGCTAGGGAGGTGGTGGTAGTAGTAGTTGTAGGTGGGAAGGTTAGTAATCACAGGGAGTCGAATGTAAATGGCATCACGAAAATTGCGACTAAGTCCTAGGTTGCTGCCCAGAATTTCTGCCTCATTTACACACAATTGCAGGGTCTCAATTGTTTCTCTTACTACTATCAACACAACATACATATATTGTTTCTCACTTTTGATCTTTTTTTCATTTTTGTATTTAGTATTATTATTACTATTATTATTATTATTATTATCATTATTATTTTATTTTTAATTATAAATTGCATTTACTATGAATTATTATTAGTATTATTTATAATTATTATTGCATGTTCGTCCCCCAGGCCCCGATGTGGGGCAGTGACCTGTGTCCGGGTGGGTTAATCCCAGTAAAAAAAAAAAATGCAGGTGCAGAACCACGAAACAAAGAGAAAAATGTAAATAACAACAACAACAAAATGACAACAAAAACAGGAAAATGTAAACAACAACAAAATAATTGTAATAACAATACATGAAAATTTAAACAAAATAATAATAACAATACAGAAAAACAACAACAATAATAACAAAACAAAAACAGGAAAATTTAAAAACAAAACAAAAACAATAACAATAAAACAATAATAGCAACACAGGAATATGCAAAAAACAACAATAACAACAAAACAACAACAAAAAACACAGGGAAATGTAAAAGAAACACAATAACAATAACACAAAAACTGAAAACAAAACAAAACAAAATAAAACTCAGCAAAAATTTAATATATGGTAATATATGTCTGTTATGTATTTATTCATATATGTGTGACTCTGAATATATGTATGTATATAAAAACATAAATTACATTTCTTTCTACTTAGCAACAGCAACAGGGAGAAGAAGAAGTCACAGACACACACACACACAGAGACAAGAGGAATAAAATGAACATCGCCTCTTTGTAAACAACACCAACGACGAGAAACAACATTGAATCTCTTCCTAAAATCACTCTTGAAAAAACCCACGATACTTCCTATCACGATGTCTGAGAAGGAGGCGAAAAACGACAATACGGGTGATACGAACGAGGAGAAAGGTACGGTGAAAGAAGAAACGACAGATAAGGAAGAATTGGATAGGGGAATGAAGAACGATAATAAGGAGAGACAGGCGAAGGAGGTGGAGGAAGGGACGGGAGGAGGCAGCAGCAGTAGTGAGATGTTCCAAACTATCCTCCGCCATGTGGGAGACTACGGCAAGTGGCAGTGGCGGGTCGGCATCATCACGTCTTTCTGTGGGGTCTTTACCGCCTTCCACAACCTAGCTGCCGGTGAGTTATTGTTGTTCTTCTCTTCTTCCTCCCCTTTCATCCTCGTTGTCCTATCTGTTCCCGTCTCCTCCATTCCCTCCCTTTTGTTCCTTTCTCCTAAGCCTCCTCCTCTTCGCCTAACCACTTACGTACGGTCTCCCCTCTATACTGAATAAAATCGTCTATCCTTAGCCAAATAATCTCAATGATTTGATTTCAGTTTTGGTGTAGAAGTTCATCATAAAAAAAAAAAAAATTTTTACTTGAGACAGTCGGACGCTCGTGGTGAGACTCGGGTGATATAATGCACAGCGTTTATGCCTGATTGTCTCGAGTTATTGACTGTGGCCGGGCCAAGCAGGGACTCGAACCCTTGACACACACAAGAAGGGTGTTTATCCAGTATAAGAACACAAGAACATAAGAATGGAGGAAATTTGTCACACTTGCCAGATGCTTCTGGTGTCATTGTACAGGGGTACCTAGTGACAGCACGAGGATCCCGCTTCCTCTATCAAGGAATAAACAATTGAAATTGAATGGAGGAAACTGCAGCGGGCCTATTGGCCCATACTGGGCAGTCCCGTTTACACCCAACCCCTATTGCTCATATAAGCATCCAACCTATGTTTGAAGCTATCCAGCGTATTCGAGTTAATGATGATGTTTGGTAACTTGTTCCAGTCATCCACTACTCTGTTTCCAAACCAGTGTTTACCTATTTCGCGCCTAAATCTAAATTTGTCTAATTTAAAACCATTGTTATGAGTTCGCTCCTGGTTGGATAGTTTGAGTACCTTTGTAATGTCCCCTTTTTTTTAGCCCTGACTTCCATTTATACACCTCTATCAAGTCGCCCCTCGCTCTACGTCTCTCGAGGGAGTGCAAATTAAGATGCTTTAACCTGTCTCTATACTCAAGGTTCCTAATGCCCGGGATTAGTCTTGCCATTCTCCTCTGAATTCTTTCCAAGGATTCTATATCCATTCTGTAATACGGTGACCAGAACTGAGCTGCGTAATCCAGGTGTGGTCTCACAAGCGCAAGATATAATCTTAAGATGACCTCGCTAGTCTTGTAACTAACACTCCTTTGTATGAACCCAAGTACTTTATTAGCCTTGTTACGAGCAAAAACACATTGTTAACTTGGCTTAAGATTCCTACTTATCAATACTCCTTAATCTCTCTCGCAATCGGATTTCTCAATGGCATCGTTGTTCATCTGGTAACTGGTTTCCCTGTTTACATCTCCTATACTGAGTACTTTACATTTGTCCACGTTGAATTTTATCTGCCATTTTTCAGACCATTCGAAAAATTTGTTTAGATCCTCCTGTAGTTTTGCGGAGTCCTCGTCAGATTTAATAACACGTCCTATTTTAGTGTCATCAGCAAATTTACTTATGTTGCTGTCTATGCCGATATCTATGTCGTTTATGTATATAATAAATAATAATGGTCCAAGTACTGAGCCTTGGGGAACTCCACTAGTGACGTTGCTCTTTCAATAATAACCTTTCACTATACTCAAAACAAACGCCAAGGATAAATTCACAGTACTCGAACCTAATCACTGGAGAAAATATCGTTACTTAAAATTTTCACAATGATATAATGCTAAAATTTTCCCAGAAGCTTAAATTATGTCCCCCAAGGGAAATCCCCGGCCTATGAGAACGCACTTAATTGCCGTAGGACAAACAAAAGTCAGGGTTTGTGTGTCTTGTTTACCCAGCAGTAATTAGGGACCTAGATGTTGATAATTACAGTATGGGTGTTCTGGAGTAATGGTTAGCCACTGCAGTTGGCGAGTTGTCCGATCTGACAGATACTACCAAACATCACAGTCATGTTTCCTTGGAGTTAATATATTTTTTTACGGGGATTAGCCCACCCGGGCACAGGTCACTGACCCACATCGGGGCCTGGGGGGGCGAAAATTTTATAAATAATAATAATAATAATAATAATAATAAATAAAAAATAAATAAAAAGATCAAGAGTGAGAAACAATTGAGACCCTGCAATTGTGTGTACATGAGGCAGAAAGTCAGATCGGCAACAATTTTCGTGATGCCATATCGCAACAGGGTCCACCATCAGATAACACATTATGCATTTAACCTTTAAGATCCACAGATGACCACACTGTGTGTGTGTCGCACTAGTTAGCCTTGAGATTAATTCCGTCTTTTTTCTAAATTATTATTACAATAAAGCAACATTGTTATCACTGCGTGCGTATCAAGTAGCTCATATCTTTCTCTCTGTATCTCTGTTCATTCCCTTCTCTCTTTCTCATTTTTCTCCCTCATAAGTTTTTTTTTCTCTTACTCTCTTTCTCACTCCTATTCACCACCTCTCTCTCTCACACTGCAACAAATAATCACTTTTTGTCTCATGGTGCACTTAAATTGGCTCCTGTCAGCCGCTACTACGCTATTCAAAGCATCTGTTACTTTTGTGTTATTCTGTATTTCAATCCCCAATGCTACTGCCTCCTGATCCGTAGTCCTCATTGCTACTGTCTTCCGTTTATGTAAGTATGTATATATGAAATGTATGTATGTATGTATGTATTCAACTCTCTTATTTAATTTCTTTCAATAACATAACTGGGAAAAAATATGTGGGGGGGGGGATAAAAAGTCGATATTTTCCCGACTAAAATAACCAAAACAAAGATCATCCATCTCATCAAGTATAAAAATTTACAGGTTATATAAAAGATTATATTGTTATAGGAATAGACAGTACAGTATATGATAATACGTTTATATAAATCGAAGAAGAAATTACCACTACCACTAACTGATGGAAAATTATTATTCACTAAGGTTGATAAGCTGTTCCATTAGGGTAGGTTAGGTTAAGTCAGGGTAGGGTTTGATTAGATTAGGTTAGGGTAGAGTGGGTATGTTTGTCGGTATCTGGGTGCAGGGTATTTGGGTAGGTATCTATGTAAACCCCTTGGATAACCGTGTCTGACCTCCTTTTATTCAGAACCATGCCAGGTAAAGTAGTACCCTAGGTTAGGTATTACTACGCTATGTTATTCTCGCCACGGAAGATTCCTCACTCAATATTCTGGGCAGGCTTTATGAGTCATGTAAGTTGATTCATGATGAAGTAAAATGCACGAAGAGATACATATGAGATGGTTGGTTTATATTTGATCTTTGTTAGGTTAGATATCAACAAACGAGAGGAGAGAGTTAGGAAGATGTAAGTTAAAGTGATGTAATTCCATTCTTTTTGTGCTGTAAGGTCGATGAAGAGATCGAATTTCATTTCCTTTATAGTTATACCTAGAAGGATTAACAATAAGACTTTTAATCCCCTATATCCACCACCTTATTGGAATGATAAAAAACGATCTAATCCTCTTTTGAAGGGATTTAACCCCCTGTCGTCCTTTGCCATCTTGCCATAACAACTATAAACACCATGATTCCTCTCCCTCTATCTTTAAAATGGGTTAGTTTTTTAATTTAACAAATTTATTGGCAAAGCTTGTAGTACAGTCTGCCTATTCTGAGTAATTCAGTCAGGTCTTGACACTGAGGGTGGTATCACTTCTCACTGCCACGCAGGACAGAGGTTCATACACAAAGAAATACATCATATTTATTAACAGCTATATATGTATAGAGGTCAGATTCATATGGGTAATGTCACTGGTAAGAAAGGAATCAGATAGTACGAAGAAAAGTCACGATACTTTAACTCAGTAGAAAAGACCTAGTGTAGGGCTCTCGTTATCAGTCCACCTTTTATCACTGTGAAGCAGCGACAAGAATATGTACTATACACAGTCCAAGAGATAGGTTATTCCGTTGTGCTATGGAGATAAGCTTGGATGGGTCGGGTCCTTCAGAGGGGCTGTGGCGTTGACGAGTGGTGATAAGGTTGAGGGGTGTGGAGAGGTAGGGGGAGGGGGGGAGAGGTTCAAAGGTCTGGTTGAAGTACTATGGTAACTGACAAGATGCAACAAGAAATGTGTAAAAAAGTACAGCATGAAACAAGTACAGCAAAAACAAATACCGCATAAAACAAGTACGGCATAAAACAAATACCGCATAAAACAAGTACAGCAAAAACAAATACCGCATAAAACAAGTACAGCAAAAACAAATACCGCATAAAACAAGTACGGCATAAAACAAATACCGCATAAAACAAGTACAGCATAAAACAAATACCGCATAAAACAAGTACAGCATAAAACAAATACCGCATAAAACAAATACCACATAAAACAAATACCGCATAAAACAAATACCGCATAAAACAAGTACAGCATAAAACAAATACCGCATAAAACATGTACAGCATAAAACAAATACCGCATAAACAAATACCACATAAAACAAATGCATAAAACAAATACCGCATAAAAACAAGTACAGCATAAAACAAGTACCGCATAAAACAAGTACAGCATAAACAAACCGCATAAAACAAATACCGCATAAAAACAATATCGCATAAACTAAGTACGCATAAAACAAACCTTTCTTTACAATTGAGTGTGTTTTTCTGTGTTGTTAATTCCGATGTAAAATATAACGAAAAAGTAACATTCACCAACCACATACAGGTATAAGACTCCCACAAGTAGATATTTCCAGCAGATGTTGTCAAGTGTCGAAAGTCGAAGCTGCTGCCTAATGTACTGTTCGCAGCTTAATCTATACCACACTTACCCACTTGTAGTTGTGCTTGGTTAGAAGGTTGTTAGGTTGATTTAGGATAGGTTAGATTAGGTTAGTTTAGGAGGTTAAGTTAACCGCTAGATTAGTGCAGGTTAGTTCAGGTTATGTTAGGTTAGTTCAGGTTACGTTAGGTTTAGGTTAGGCCAGGTGTGGTTTATTCCAAGTAGTTAATGTTCCTAATATTTTCTGAAGTTAGGTTTGGTTAGGTTAGGTTTACTTGTATCTGCATTTGCACTCTCCTTTCTAGATCAGTAAATGAACTGAATGAAGTATTGATAATTTGGGTCATCGCCTCTGTGTCAAT